AAAAAAACCTGTGAACCACCTTCAAGCTGGATGCTGGGATGATCTCCCATCAGTGGGGGCAAGAGGTGGCAGCTTCCCCATGAGCTGGGGAATTACCTGTGGCTGGGGTGGCAGCAACAGGCACGGGGCTGGAGCCACAAGGACCCAAGGATGGAAGAGGCGAGGTCTGCAGAAACCTGTAATACCTTTTAATAGACCAGTTAGTACAGCTGGAGAGGAATAAAAACCCAAACCCACAACCACACAAGCTCTCCTTTCAGCTGGTGCATCTTTGGGCTTGGCCATTTTTTCCAGCTGCATCATTTGGTCTAATAAAAGACATGACAGATCCCTGCAACCCTTGTCTCTTCCTCCGGCCAGTTCTTCCCAGGACAAGGAATCTAGGTCATTTTGATGCTTGCATTGTGATACTTGACAGCCTGCCGAAACAAAATAAAGATTTTGGCCTCAACATGTGAAGTAGTTAATCTGTGCCACAGGGCAAAGCAAGCTTGTTGTCCTTCGAGGCTGAGAGCTTAAAGCTGTCACTCCCCCAGTGCAGGTGGACGTTTGGATGCCTGGAGGACCCACCAGAGCATTTGAGCATCTCCATCAACCAGCAGAGACTGCAGGAGTGAGGAAACCATGGCAGCTCCAAAGCCAGGGCTGGTGGGATGGGATGTGGGACTACTCCGGATAAAACCTCCATCACACCTCTGGGCACCAGAGAGGGGATGCCCAAGCAGGTGAGAGCAGACGCACATCCTGTGTTCGGTGCCAAAACCCTACAGGAGCACAGCTCATGGGTACAGCAGCTCTCCATCTCCCCACCAGGTCTGTACCCCACAGAGCTGCCAAACCCAGCACCCCTCGGTGTGTCAGCCCCAGCCGGGGGGCACAGGAGGAGCTCAAGCACGTTACACTCCTGCCTGACCTTCACTGGCAGTTTGGAGAAGGTCACCACGTCCTGACGGCTCCGAGCAGCTGGGGCTGAAGCCTCCCAGCGAGGCCAGGCTGGAAGGAAGGAAGGAAGTTATAGGAGGCTTTTAAATAGCACTGGGCAATACCTGAAACCTCTATTTCTGTGCATGGATAATACGGTTTCCATATTCTTCCCCAAGCGTGGCAGGCCCAGCCATTTGCACTCACACTGAGTTAGCAGCAACGTTCTTTACCAGTTAAACTATTAAAGCTTGGTGAGGCTACTCACAGTCACCACGTAGGGCAACCACAAGCTGTGTACTTCATCTCATGAAGAAATGTATAGAATCCCTTCTGCATCTGCCTCTCACTTCTGTTTTACCTTTATAGCCATAGAATCGTTTTGGTTGGAAGAGATCAAATCAAAGATCTTTGAGTCCAACCATTAACCCAGCACTGCCAAGTCCATGACTCACCCATGTCCCTCAGCACCACATCCACATGGTTTTTCAATCCCCCCAGGGATGAGGACTCCACCACTGTCCTGGGCAGCTTGGTCTTTTAAAAACACTACGGATTGCAGGTGGTCTTGCAGGCCATCTGTGCAGCCCCCACATCATGTGTAGTCACCATATCTCCAGTGTAGGTTTCTGCAAGATGCCTCTCACCTGAGCTGGGCAATGTGGTTACATCCACCTTTCCACACTTCAGCAGGTATCTGAAGAGTCACAGAAGCAGGCAGCTCCTTCAGGGCTTTCTGAGGATCATACATGGGAGTACACAGCAGAGCCACATCAGGTTTGCAGTCTTAATGAGGAGTGCTTGGCTGTCATTATCAAACATACCCTTACACTTGAAAAAACTAAGGTAGAACTTCTTCAAAATAAATGTACTTCCCTCTCCATGTCAATTAACTAGTTTAAAAAAAGAGTTCTCTTTCTTCCTCGAGTTTTGCCCATCTCATCTCCCATACAGCAGATCTCGCCTTCAGAGCTTACCAGACAAGAAACAACCTGCACACCTTTGAGAGGAACCTTCCTCCATGCCTGGTCCACACACTCAAAAGCTCATGAGCTCAGCTCCACCACCCAGTGAGGACTTCAGGCTCCCAACTCCCTTTGGGCCCTCTCCTAGTCTCAGCTGTTGGTGATGATACTGCCAACGATGGTGCCCACCTACCCAGGAGCACAGCAGGGCTGCCACCTCCTCCTAACAGCTGGGAACTAGAGGCAACGCTCAGGCTTTCCCACCTTGCCCACAGGGCCGGGGCAAGCAACAGGTCCTGCACGTCCAAAACAACTCGCCTGTCACAAGGACCCGTTGTTCAAGTCACTTTGGACACTTGCTCCAGCACACCAGACCAGCATTCAGGCCAGCACTGCCCAACTCATGGTTGACACCCCTTGCCAGACAGAGGATTTCACTGAAGGTGACCACACCATGTCTCACAGCCAGCTCCTACATCCCATTGCTGTGCACCCCATCACCCCACGGCCCCTTGCACACCACCATTGCCACGTCCAAAACATCAGCAAGGATGCTTGTGGAGCGTCTACAAGCAAAGAGCCACCACTGCCAGGTCAGCAAACAGCAGCGAAATGTACCAAGCGCCACCTCAACCCCCAGCCTGGAAGAGAATCGAGCCCAAATTAGCTAAGCAAACAACAGCATTCAAACAGTAAACAGCAACACAAGGTTAGGCAACGGTGCTGCTTTCCAGAAGAACTTGGTGTGATTCCATGGCCAGGCAGGTGACAAATGCCAGACTGTGAAATGGGGGCTGAACAGGAGCCACTTAAAAAAACACAGGTGGTTTTAGGAAGAAGACTAGAGACTAAAAGCTCTTTCCCCAACAGTTCTTGGTTGCAAACCTGAGCTGCCCTTCCCTCCACCCCAACAGGGTGTTGTGGCTCGGAAAAGCCAAATGTCCTGCTCCACAGGACACGTGGCTGTGTCCATCCCATGGGAAAACCTCACTGAGGGGTGTCTGGCAAGAATGAGGAACTCAACGGGTCCAAGATTTGCTATTGGAGTTACGAACACCCTGGGGGAACAGCTCATTTTTGGAGAAAGCACAGGCAGCTCCAGGAACGCACCAAAGGACGACAGGCAGGAGGAGGCTGGGTGCCAAGATTCGCTCACAGGAGAAATCCTCACGCCAAGCAAGGTCAATGGGATTACAGGGATTGCTCACATGAGCAGGGGTGGGAAGGGTCCAAGCCCTGGTTTCCACAAGCAAAGGTCTCCACACAGACAGCCAGATGTGACTTTCTATCTGGGAAGACTTCAAAATGCTGTTTTCCTTCAGAATTCCCCTTCTCTGTGGTCAGAAGGTAAATCATCCCCCCTTCAATCACCTGCTCAACCCAGGGGACACAGCCACCACGAAACCCACAATTCTGAGGCAAAACCATGACGCCAACAAACAACTGAAAATTCAGAATACACTTTTCAGGCCGACTGGCAGCAGGAAGGGCAGTGAGCCCAGGCTCAGGCCAGCACGGGAGGCTGCCCCTTTACCCCACAGCATTTGAGTTTAGAAAGCATGCTCCCTCCCTGTTCCCCCCGGGGCCTCCGCACCCAAAGGGATGAAGTTCGGCCCTTCAGCTGTTTATAAAAGCAGCGGTGCTGTACCCAGAGGCACTCGGCAGCATTCCTCCTTCTCATTCCTGCGAGCTATATAAGGGAAGGGCCAACTCCAGCCTCGCTCCCCCCTGGCCAGAGCAGCCCCGGGCTCGGTTTCCTGCAGAAGGACTTAAATCCGTCCTCGGTGGAAGACGACGACGTCGAGCTGGACCTTGTCATCAAATGGCAGCCCAGGCAGCTGCCAAATCCTGCCGGCTCGGTGCTCTAATAGGGAACAGCTGGAGAAGGACCCTGCATTCCTCCCGTCCCGCCAGCACCAGGGGCTCTGCTCGGGATCCGGGGGGGGGGGCTCCGGTTGGGATCCGGCCCCTGAGACTTCCACCCATCCCAGAATTCAGCTGCAACAGCTACAGCCCAAAAAGCAAGAGCTGGAGGCCCCACCCTCCCCCAAAAAAAATTTTAAACAAAAGGGATGCTTTGCAACAAGAGGCTTTTTTTGGGTTGGTTTTTTTTTTTTTTTTTTGTGGTTGGATTTTTTGGAGAGGTTGGGGAAACAGAACTATGCAACTTCAGGACAGATTTCACCCTCCGGGCTCACATGACTTCAGAAACTCTGCTTAAAGCAACTCACACCCCTACAAAAACGTGCTGAGGAACATACATGTTTGGAACATGCACACACCCCTCGATAAACACGTTAACACACAGCATGACTCTCAGCTCGCTTGGGCCCTTTGCATCCTGCCCTGAACTCCATTTACTCCTGCACAGTTGAATAACTTGTAACAGTGTATAAAAAAAAAAAAAAAAAATTTAAAATCAATACTTTTGGAGCCACGCATGTTTTCTGTAACACATCCTGCACATTCAAGTAACATAAAACACTCCACTCATATTTTCTCAGAGCTCTGCCGAAACACAAGGGGGTATTCAGAGCCGCAGGAAAAAAAATGCGTCCAAACAGGATCTGAATGATGAAATAGGAATTGCCACATTTAAAAAGAAAAAAAAATAAAAAGAAAAAAAAAATAGGATCATCCAGCTGCCCAGACTTTTTAGAAAATAACAGTTTGTCTAAGGTAGCACCGAGCTCCTTCTGCGCCTTGCAGAAAGCAAAGCAAGCCACGTTGTCCAAAAGAAGCCTCGAAAATCCAGACTCTACGTGACCTGACTTACTTATTTCACAGGAAACTGCATGGAAGGAGGAAGGGGGGGGGGGGAAAACCCACCAATCGTTCATGCTACCGTAGTTACACCACGCCATAGACTATAGAGTAGTTTGCTGTGACAAATCAAACTGCAATAAGCCATCGCCGTTTGAAAAATAAAACGTAAGGAGAGAAGCTGTTCACGCAACCAAGCTGGGGAGCCCTGGGGCTCCCCGACCTCCCGCTTTTCTCGGTGGGTTGGTTTTTTTTTTCCCCTCCAATTTTACCCCGCATTACAGCATCCTTCAAGAAGGTTTGCAGCAAAAAAAAAAAAAAAGCCACCAAAAAAAAAAAGCCACCGCTCACCAGGGTTGTTGGCCTCCCCTTCGAGGATGTGGAGCTCGGTGCAGTCTGCCAGGGAGTGCTCCAGGCAGAGCTGGAGGAAGCGAGCTTGGGTCCGGCTGACGCGTTTGAGCAGGGAGAGCAGCGCAACAGTCTGCTCGCACTCGTTCCAGCCCTTGAACCAGCCGGCCAACACGCCAACCTGGTCTCGAAACATCATGGTGAGCCGGCGGCCCGAGCAGAAAACACCTCTGCGGGGGTAGAGAATAAATAACCGGGAAAGCCTCCCTGCCCGGGCTCCGCTTCCCCCCCTGCGGCGCGGGGCAGGATTGAAAAA